GTTATATCGTTCTCTTTCGTGTCGTCCATTTTCCTTTCGATTGGAATATTCGGCGAATCTGAATCGCATCCAAGTAACTATGGAGTTTGATTCGAAATGGGTTGGATTTGATTTTTTTAGGAGTTTATAAATTGATTCGATCTAGGGATTCTTATGGAACTTATGGATCCTTTTTCGTATGGATATCTTGAATCTTCTCCTTGTTTGAGCTTACTGCGATGTATTGTTTCACCAGCTAGCGGAAGAATCAAATGATTGCGGTTTTAGATTCACTATGTTATTTTTGTTTGTCCCCAGATTTGTTTTTATATGCCTTGAGAGTTGTTGTTGTTGTTATGTACCTCAACAAGATTTGGTCGGATTATGTTCCTATTCATCATAATTACTAGATGATAATCATATTCATTGTAATGAATGTAGTGCTCAACAATCAGATGTCAAAGGCAATGCCATTTGCGTAATCACTTGAATTTTGTAGGCTTTAGTGTTGAGTGAAATAGATATGGATTGTCCTAATTTGCTTCCTCCACAATCGCTAGGAATGAGAGTCGATCAAAGAATTACGATATATGAGTCTCATTCATTTCATAGTTCTATAAGTTACTCTCCAATGATGTTCTAACTTCACTAGGAATGAGAGTCGATCAAAGATTTACGATATATGAGTCTCATTCATTTCATAGTTCTATAAGTTACTCTCCAATGATGTTCTAACTTCACTAGGAATGAGAGTCGATCAAAGATTTACGATATATGAGTCTCATTCATTTCATAGTTCTATAAGTTACTCTCCAATGATGTTCTAACTTCAATTTCAGGTGGTGGAAAGATGCTCAAGATTCAATGCCTTCTGAATCAGTTGAAAAAAGAGAGGTCTTGTATACAGCAACGAATGGGTCGTCTTATGGAGGCCCAATGAAGTTGATAAATAACATCTTTAACTCTGATATTTTGTTCGATCTGAGGAGAGAAGAAGATGCATTACCGAATGGTGAAACGGGAGAAGCAAGCATCTCAGGCAGGGACTTTGCTTTGGTCTCAAGTGATATGTGGCTTCAGGCACTTAAATGGTAAGTGGTGTTTCCTCGTGTTCATACCTGATGGTTCCTTCTAGAATGACTTGAGTCATTTGTGTCACTATCCTTGTCATTTTACTGTACATCCAATTGAACTTGCAATTCAATCTTGGCTTATGTCAGACTGTCAATATCCAGTTCCAATCAACTGATTCTTCCTTGGAATTTTTCATATTTACTGTATCTGTTCATTCTTTTGTGGTCAAGCTTTTGAAGAAGATGTGAGGTAGATTAGGAACTTCTTGGGTCACATTGTGACGCTTAGTAGAATTTGCCTATATTTTGGACATGTGAGAAAATTACAAATTATTGTTATGATGCAGGATCTCTGATCATTGTACCTATTATATTCTTGCAATATAGTTGGTGACGTTGGTGTATATGCTTGGGTTTCTTGTACACTATAATACGTTCTAGAAAAGAGAAGGTGATTTCCTTGATTTGTTACCTATTACTTCTTGGTTCCCAGGCATCATGATGATAAAAATACTGAGAAAGGCGTAAAAAGTTTCTCGGCCGGAGGAGTTGACAGAGGTGATGTTTATCCAGTACAACTCAGGCTCACCATTTTGCAGGAAACCAATTCATTAGCTGTTAAAATTTGCAAAAAGGTGTCTTCAAACTTACAGCCTTTTTTTTATTTCTAGCGCCTTGATGGTGCCACTGTTATAGAAGTACAGTGATCGACTTTCCTCTTTTAAGATGATAAAAACCTTGTGCTTAAAACTCCTGTTCACATGAAATTTGAGAAGGAAATAGCTGAAATGAGAAACCATTATGAAGATAAGAATTTCCTGCTAGAATTTCCTGCTAGAATTTCCTGCTTGATCTTCCTGTTTTACAGTAGGCCAAGATGTCCTCTACAGTTCTTCTATTTGTAGAATTTTTGCTTAGTTTCTCAGTTGTTGTTGTTGTCTCTGGTTCCAAATCTTATGTTTTCCCTCATGCAGGACAATTCAGTTGAGTGCTTCAGAAGAGCATGCAAGATATTCAGTTTGGATTCTGAGCAGGTAATGTGTTCCATGCATGATCTTCTACCTACTATGTACATGATATGCATGTCAGTTTATGCATACTATATGTGGTACAGGCGATATTTCTGATATTTTATTCATGCAATTACAAATTATACCCATGCTTTTGGTTCTGTAGTTGCGCATTTGGGATATTTCTGGCCAGACAACCTTGTTTTTTGAAAGTGATGTGAGCAATTCCAAGGATTGTCAACAGCAAACAGATCAGGAAGTAAGTGTGACACTGTTTGTGTCAATGTGGATATTGCGTCATAGTATGTTACAATTAAATTGTTTTCGCCTTATTTCAGAGTTGCCTTCCCTTTTCCTTTTTTTTCCTATTTCTTTTTGATGAGGTATTTCTTATTAGTCATTATTTTTGGTCCAACAGATTCTCCTAGAGCTGCAGATATATGGGTTATCAGACTCCATCAAATTGAAGGAATCGAAAAAGGAAGATGGTTCTACACAGCAAACTAATGGGATTACCAATGGCATTAATGGTGGCACAACGTTCAGATTTGGACGGAGTAATTCTTTGAGTTTTTTGGCAAAAGCTGGAGAGGCTGGAACTTTGGGGTTGACAGGCTTGCAGAATCTAGGAAATACTTGTTTCATGAACAGTTCCCTTCAGTGCTTGGCTCACACACCAAAGCTTGTTGACTTCTTTCTTGGAGAGTACAGTAGAGAAATAAATCTTGACAACCCATTAGGAATGAAAGTATGTAAAGCTATGGCTTGCCGTATATATACATGTTATCTGCCGTGGCTGATTAATATACTTTCTTGCTTCTTAGTTAGCCTCACTGATCAAATTTTCTTCTGGTAGGGTGAGATCGCCTTAGCTTTCGGTGACCTGCTAAGGAGTTTGTGGGCTCCAGGTGCATCAACAATGGCCCCAAGGACATTTAAAGCAAAACTTGCTCGATTTGCTCCTCAGTTTAGTGGCTTTAATCAGCATGATTCGCAGGTCAGGGAAAACACTTCAGTTTATAGCATTAAGTGAGCCTTCCTGATGTTTCTTACTGTCTCTCAGCACTAAAGACCGCATATTGGGATATTCCATTCATGTGTTTCAGATTTCTTGATTTGATTGCAGGAACTTCTAGCATTCTTGCTAGATGGACTCCACGAGGACTTAAACCGTGTAAAGAACAAGCCTTATGTGGAGGCAAAAGATGGAGATGGCCGTCTAGACGAAGAAGTGGCTGATGAATATTGGCGAAATCATGTGGCTCGCAATGATTCAATAATTGTTGATGTTTGCCAAGTAAATATCCTCAGGTTCCTAAATTGTTTATATACCTCTGCCGACATTCACTCTGAGGATCGGATTTGACTTGCACATTAGGAAACTTTAGTTTGACCTCTGTTTGAAAAATGTCAGATGGCTCAAGCTGTGTAGCATTCTGGTATCCAAGTCATAGGTTGTAGGTTTCATTTTGATCTATGCTGCATATGTTTGAAATTTCTTCTATCATATTGGTCAGTGCTACCTTATCTTCTTGTTTGAAGTCCATGTACATAATATTTATTTTTTGTTAAGCAAGATATTACCCTGTCGAGAAGCATGTGAACTTATTAGATTGTTCTCTAATGCAAATGTTTTGAAGAATTACTTTGCATTTACTATGGTGCTCTTTGCACTTTGACCACCTGACTATGTCATGAACTTTCAACATCCTAGATATCCTCATCTTCTTCGGTTCAGGCATTTTCTATGAAAAGATTCTGATATTTTCTATCACTAAATTTCTATCACTAAGACATTTATATTCATTTCTGGTTGCAGGGCCAATACAAGTCAACATTAGTTTGTCCTATCTGCAAAAAGGTTTCTGTTATGTTCGATCCATTCATGTACCTATCGCTACCTTTGCCATGCACTTCAATGCGAACAATGGATTTAACAGTCATGAGTGCCGATGGTGGTAGTTTGCCTGTTTCATTGACTGTTAATGTTCCTAAGTTTGGAAAATTTGAAGATCTTCAGAAAGCTCTTGTTACTGCCTGCTCTTTACCAGAGGATGAGACTTTACTGGTTACTGAGGTATATTTCTATATCGATTATGCTATATTTGATGCCATGAATCTCATTTTGTTGCATAGGCGAAACAATTGTTAACACATGCAATGAAAATTCTCTTCAATTGTCTAGGTATACAACAATCGGATTATTCGCTTCCTGGAGGAGCCTACTGATTCATTAACCTTGATCAGAGATGGTGACAAACTTGTCGTATATCGGTTAAAGAAAGATGCAAACAATTCTCCTTTGATTGTGTTTGTGCATCAAAAGCTGGAAGAGTAAGTTCGCATAGTATTTAAATGTTAAGGATTATCAATGCAAATTGCCCCTGAGCCCCACTTTCTTTGACTGGTGGTTCTGGACATTATACATTTCTTTACGTTGGCAACAACACTATTTAAAGTTCATTACATACACTTTCCTCACCAATCAATATCTATAGCTCTTGGCTTTATATAATGTACATCTAACGTGCCATTGTTCAATTAATAAGTGGTACTGCAGTTTAACCACTGTTCAGTAGTGGCATGCATAAATTTGTCTGGTGATACCAAATGTCTAACCGTTTCGATGTTTTTCAGGCAGTTTATCCTTGGAAAATCAAGCCCAACTTGGAAGGCATTTGGAATCCCCTTGGTCTCAAGGCTTGATGATGTCGAGAATGGATCTGATGTTGAGAACCTCTACCTGCAATTGCTTAGTTCGTTTAAGATGCCTACTGAATTCTTTGCAGATAATTTTGGAAATCCGATTGAAGAAGAAGCCCCTGATAAAGCAGCTACCGATGATACTACTTCAGTTGAGGATACAAATTCCACTGATGTGAAGGAGACTACTGCGTCTCTTGCAGACCCTGTGAAGGAGACTACTGAGTCTCTTGCAGACCCTGTGAAGGAGACTACTGAGTCTCTTCCAGACCCTGTGTTGAGACTGTACCTAACCGACGACAAAGGAAACTTAATAGAATCTGAAATATTGAAAGAAAAGTCTGTAAATATTAAATCCAAGCGCGTGAATGTGCTTGCGCGTTGGCCAGTAAAAGAGCTAGACGTTTATGATACTTGTCTTCTGAGCTCCTTACCTGATGTTTCTAAATTTGGAACTAAGAGACCCCAGGAATCTGTTTCACTTTACAAGTGCCTTGAAGCATTCTTGACGGAGGAGCCTCTTGGTCCTGATGACATGTGGTGAGTTGAAGATCAAAACCATTTACAGTATCTATCTCATTTTTATTGATGTGTGAAAATTTATCTTTTGAAAATGGTGCACCTAGTGCAGTTGAAAATCCACCTTTTTATTTGTTCCTTTAAGATTTCCAGGTAACAGTGTGCTTCGTTTGGTTGCCATTGGATTTTTTTGGGGGCATGTAGCATTGTATTATGGTTCATTTTTTCATCATTTAAGATTTATCTTGAATTTTGTCAATCGTTTTGTGCGTCTGACTTGCTCCTTACTAATTATCCGGGTTACTTTGATATTTGGTAGCTGACTTGATTCCTAATCATTTCAGGTATTGTCCTGGCTGCAAAGAGCACCGACAAGCCATAAAAAAGTTAGATCTCTGGAGGTTGCCAGAGATCCTGGTTATTCATTTGAAGAGGTTTTCTTATAGCCGGTTTATGAAGAACAAGCTGGAGGCTTATGTGGACTTCCCGTTAGATGATCTTGATCTATCAAGCTACATCTCCTACAAGAATGGTCAGACAACATATCGCTACATGCTTTATGCAATTAGCAATCACTATGGGAGCATGGGAGGTGGTCATTACACTGCATATGTCCATGTAAGTGTTAAGACATTTTATAACTATCCTCTTATATGTCTCAACGTCTAATCGATTTTAAAGTATTTGTGTAGCAAAACTGTGCAACCCTTTGTAGAGTAGGGTATCAGAAAACTGTAAGAAGTTGAATAACACTGGATGGGTTATCTTACCCATGATCCGAATGTCACTAACCTGGATATACTATTGCTAAAACTGCTTGGTATCCAGAATCATAAGGATGCTAGTTAAAGTTTGTCTCTGTTATCCAAAGCACATGGCTTTATATATCCGAAAGCAGTTATTATAGTTCGAAGCATGAACTGGTAAAGCCTAGTACATATTTCTCTCGAGTCTTAAAAATCATCATTGACAGGCTCATAATTTCCGTATACCGAATATGGTTCAGTCCG